ATCAGAAACATGTTTCACTTGGTCTTAGTTCTCGGATTCCTGTCCTATGTTCTTACTCCTATGCTGAGGAGCTTAATAGTGCTCCAAACTGTAACGCAATCTCCTTAGAAAGCTGTGCTGAGCTTTAGTACAGTAATCGGCTGGTAGGGGCATGACTAGCCTGTTGTTATTGAGGCCTAGTAGCTGGGGGTATTTTCTTTGGTAAGGGGATATTCAGAGCAGGACGGGGGGCTGAATGAGACCTCTGTCTTGCAGGAATTCCTTCAAGCAGCCAGCAAAGGGCATCAGGCTTAATCATAGTCCACATCCATCCACACACGTGATGTGCCCCGCTAGAACCCTGCTCACTGAGCTGCCGACTGTGTTTTTTTTAGGGCAGATGTGGTTTGGGAAGCAGCTACGGGCACAGGCCAGTGTTCATGAATTTGTGTTTATTTATGTGCGTCTGTGTGTTTATGTATTTTACAGGGAGCTAAAGGAGATCCGGGCCTTCCTGGTCTTCCAGGGCCTGCTGGCTTCATTGGGCAAAAAGGCGACAGGGTAGGATTGGAAAAGCAGAAACTGCCTATCAATTCAAAATGCAGAAGAACCTATTAAATAATTTAGTAAAAGTTGTCTATGATCAGAAAAACTTACTACCATTAACACTCTGTTTACATACCATTTTACTATACTGTGCAGAGTATGAAAATGTATGCATGCATAGAAATACATTTAAATGACCTCCCAAAATGACCAGAATGTGCAGTATGCAGTAAATATACTTAGTATTACATACTATAATGAAATTTGGCCTTCAATTCCATGTGATATAAATGATTGTAAAAAAGGCATTTTTACACAAAATTAAATTAAAAATGCTAATTTCCTGTATTTTTTGATGAGACTGAATTAATTTTAATGTGGGTTAAATATGTTTAATTCACCCACTGAATGAAAAACGTAAAGTGGTGAGATCATGTGAATTTCAGAATTTGAGAAATAAGCTCTGTTACAAACATTATTCTCTTTACTGTGGATCTTTAAAACTAGATTTTCTGTGTACTGATATTTTCAGAAACAAGCTGCCAAAATTAAAAATGACTTTTTTTAAAAACTAAAATCATATTTTACATAGCCATGTTTAAGATTGAAGATTAAAAGCACCTTAAAAGCATCTTATTTTTTATCATTCTTCAGGGCGCTGTTGGTCTCACTGGTCCAAAAGGAGAGCAAGTAAGCCAACAATTTTTTAATATGTAGAATTTTAGTTTTATAATATTTAACATACATAATTAGATCTATATTCTAATGCATGTAATGCATGTTTGTTTAGGGACCACCTGGAGAAGAGGGAACACCTGGAGATAAAGGAGATGTTGTAAGTAAAAACAGCAGAGATATTTTAATGTCTTTGAATGTATTGGTTTTAAAGTATTCAGGAACGGGTCTTGACCCCCTTGCTGATCCTAAACTCCATGTCTATTTCATTTTGCCAGGGTGATGAGGGAGAGCCAGGCGAGAAAGGATCGGTGAGTTTGCTTTGAGAAGTGATGCTGTTGTGGTGATCTCTAGAACTATCCTATGAAAGTTAACTTAAAACGTTAACTGAAATAAAATAAAATATAAAAAAAACGTACATTTGTTTTATTTCAGCTAGTTGCCAAAGGAACATTTCTCATTTTCATTTAGTTTAATTTGATGTACTTGAAATGAAAAAAAAAAAATATATATATATATATTTATATATATATATATATATTATGCATTCTAAATATTAATAAAAGCTAGAATAGTATCTCGGAGATATTAAAATAACAGATTCAACTGTTCTCGTATAAATCATATATTTCCAAAGTTTTTAATCCATAAGATGTGAAAAAGTACAGAAAATGCAATGCTGGCCTCCGTAGAAATTAATCAGTGTTTATGGTTTGTTGTGTTCAGACAGGAAAACCAGGAGAGCCAGGAAATAAAGGGCCAGAGGGTGGGCGTGGCCAACATGGACCAGAGGGCCCAGCAGGGGGGCCTGGCCCAAGAGGCATGCAAGGAGACAGGGGGGTACCTGGACTGCCTGGGGCACAGGGACGGACAGTACGCCGGTTTAATCATCTTATCACTGAGGCCTTATTTATGTGACACTTTTATCATAGAGTTTAATTTCTGTCATTCCAACTGGATTTCTCTGTACTAAACTTGTTAAATGGTTGGCAGACCGTCAGGAATTTTACATCAATGCGATCTAAAGTGATTTTCTAGTCTTTTCTACATGCATTTAATAAGGAAATCTTAATAGTGTCCACATGATTTCCCTCCAGGGCCGAACACCAACAGATGAACACATCAAGCAGGTCTGCATGAGGGTTTTGCATGGTCAGTATTTTGATATTCAAACAGATATCTACAAATGGAAGCTCGACTCGTTGTTAAATTCAAATTATTTTTGTTTTTCGAATGGTTTTTCCATTTTCCTCACAGGACAGCTTGCCCAGTTGGCAGCCAGTCTGACAAGGCCAGAGTCGGGCATCACTGGGTTGCCAGGCCCTCCTGGTCCCCCTGGCCTTCCAGGGCCCGCTGGAGACAATGGCTTCACTGGGCATCCTGGAAGCAGAGGACTACCAGGTCTCAAAGGCCCCCCAGGGCTCATGGGGAGGAAAGGGCACAAAGGTACAAAAAGACAATGTTCGACTCATTGCGTTGCATTGTGAGGGTGAAAGATTTCCCCACACAGATTTTGCAAAGGTTTTCAGTTAGTCAAACAGATTTGCCACGTTTACCAACAGAAAAGTGATTGGTTTGAAAGCGACTTCAGTGTGAGCTGTGCCTTATTTGACACGACACTTGACAATGGAAAGTGGACCAAAATTTCAATTTGTTTTATGTGATCCCACCGTAAGCTTACTAATGATTTCATAAATACCATGCTTTTAGTGTAGATATATTTTGACATTGATGTAAGGCAATCTGTGGCTACTTAAGACTACAAAAATATTTGTTTTTGGTTTTAGCTCTCATATATACTGCTCCCACAGCAGAACAGCCTACCTAAAAAAGTTATAAAACACGTAATTTAAATTCATAACAATGCTCTGAATACCTTTCACCCATATGTTAACCGATTCCAGAGGTGTCCATTCCAAATCCATTCCAAGTTTTGTTTCAGGAACCATATTTTACATAATTTGGTACAAAACAGTACCAAAATTATCTCAGAAAAGTAACAAAAATATCCTTAGAGTCACAATGAAACGGAAGTACCAACAAATTATTTCTCCTGTATTGTGACGCACATCCATGTGAAACGGATTATCATGAAAAAATATAGTATGGGGACTTCTGTCCACCGGTTGTTGATTGGATGGTGGTAGATGAATGTGAGCTTGCGGTCAACTGTAATTATTATATAATTCACCAATGTGCCACAATACTGTGGAACATGCATTGGCCATATGTCGTTTGATGTCAACAACATATGTGTCAACTCTGTGTCATGTCCATTTACTCCTACACTGCAAAAAATGACCTACTATTTACTATATTTGTCTTTTCCAGTAAAAATATATATGCATACATTAAAGGCAATCAAGACATGTTATCTTGTCATTCTGCTTTTCAAGTAAATCTTGATTTAAGAATGTTTAGATATGTGTACTCGTAACGAAAATCTTTTTTTTTTTGCAGTGCATCATAACTAATTATATGGTTACCTGCATTTTATTATTGCCATTTAGCTTTGTTTTATTCCCTATTCCCAGAACAAATCTGGGATTCTTTTTAGGGATATGAAGCACTAGCTGAGAGCCCTAAATGCTATATTACACTGTAAAACCTTTGCATTCTCCTTAATGTAGGTGATGAAGGGGACAGGGGAGATAGAGGGCCCACAGTGGTGGGGTCTAAAGGTATACCTGGACCACCAGGGCTCCCAGGTAAGAGCAAGGCCTACGGCTAATCTAATATCCATGACTGCATTCATCACTATATGTTAAATGATCTTTAAATCTCTAAATATCATGCCTCTAACTGCTGGCCTGTTCATCCAACTGCACTCAGGTGAGCCTGGGAAACCAGCATATGGCAGTAACGGGCGTGACGGTCTGAGAGGACCACCAGGTGTTCCTGGAATGCCAGGTGTGCCCGGGCCACCTGGTCCCTCTGGGCCAAACGGATACTGCGAGTCATCTCAGTGCATACTTCAAGCAGTTGCAGGTCCGATGTCCGTCAAAGAGTCTAACATGAAGGGACCAGATGGTCTATGAGCTGACAACCATCAGTGAGCCACACATCAGAGCCCAGTGTCTCTGGACAGGGAAACTTAAGAGACTAATGGAGTGACTCCCTCTACGAGGAGATTTCTGTGTTGATGGTATATTCAGGTGCGATTGTACTTGTCAAACAGCAGTGTGAAGTTGGATCAATTCATGTTAGGATTCCCAGTTTCATTCAGTCCCCTTTAACAAAGATTATATTTTTTTTAGGACCTACTTTTGTATAGTTCTAATATTTATTTTAAGAATCAAAATAAACCTAAATTGCCTCATAAATAATTCAATTATAGCTTGCAAATAATGCATGCTCTAATTCAATTTTATTTGAATATACTTTGTATTCTTTAGGTCCTGGATGCATACAGTATGGAAAATCATGCCGTCATGACCTGGTCACTTTACACATTAAAGGCTGTTAACAGGACTTTAAATCAGAAGGGGTTCTAAACTTTGTAAATTTGTCAATATTGCATTGTTAAAAAATAATTTGCAAGCATTTTATTAAATCGTTTTCGGGTTGTTTTAACCTTAGAGACATTCTGAGATTTTGTGAAAATGTATGTGGTTCTTTGCAGTGTGGGAGAGGTCTTGATGTTTAAAACTACTTAGGAATTTTCTATATTCTTTATTTATTGTAGAAAGGATTGATGTGACACCAACAGTTGTGAAAAGGGAGGAAAATAAAAGAATTTTGATAAAGTGCTGCATGTTTTTCATTTAAAAGTTAAAATCAAGCTTGGAAGAGGTAATATGTTCCTTCAGTGTATCTTTATTGTATTCTCAAATTGGCAAACTTGTAGCAACTTGTCTCTTGCTATACTAAAACACATATCCAATTATATAAATAGGTGCTTTAACAGTACACATAATCAAATACCGCACAGAAATCAAGTATCGAAATATTAAGTTACGCACATCAAATAAAAAGGCATAAAAATACTGCAAACATTGAGGTCCAGTTTTAAGCCAAAACACAAACATCACACTATTGACATGGCAGTAATAGGTAAACAAAGTTTGGATAAACAACAAAAACTAGAACCCCACCCTTCAATATATTTATGTAAAGAGATTTTATTTTCCTCTATTTTTTTTTCTCTCTTCCTGATTTTTTTCCGCAAAAGGCATCACTGAGAAACCTCCAAATGCCACTGAGAAGTCCTCCACCAGACGGTATCTTTCTGCTGTAATAAGGCAGTTATTTTAGATCTTTTTGGAGGCAGGCATTTATTAGATAGACCGAACCATTTAGGCTATAAAGCATACTACGTGTTTGGCAGAGGTGGGATTTGACCATGTTTCACCAACCAACATAAACTTCATTGCAAGACACTAAGCTAATGTTCAAACAAGCACTTTACCTTGCTGACAGAGGTTCTCCACAGGAAATACATAAAACAAAGAGAAGGGAGAGGGACACTTGCAACGAAATAAGCTTAAAGGGATAGTTCACCCAAAAATGAAAATTCTGTTATTTTTTCACCCTCAGGTTATTCCAAACCTGTACGAGTTTCTTTTTTCTGTAACACAAAAGATGATATTTTGAAGAATATAGCCAACAGTTAATGGTCCCCACTGACTTCCATAGTATGGAAAAAAAATACTGTGGAAGTCAATGGGGACCATCAAATTTTTTTTTTTCAAAATATCTTCTTTTGTGTTCAACAGAAGAAATAAACATACAGGAATGAAACAACATGAAGGTGAGTAAATGATGACAGGATTTTCATTTTTGGGTGAACTATCCCTTTAATTTTTGTAACGGTATTTTCACAGTTACCAACTAAGAGAACAAACTACTTATGCTAGATATAAACTCCCATTACACATTTGAGAAAGGCTGATATGCAAGCTTTTACTGAATGCAGCAGTTGTTGCGGTGGCCGTTGGAATCCTTGAATCGAAGACGCATTTTGGGACGATATTTTTCCAGATAGAAGAGCTGCTTGCTGTTAAATGCTCCTCGGCGCTTTCTGGAAAAAAAGTGAAATTAACATTTCCCTTTAAGAATGGAGATCACATGCTGACTATTATTATTATTATTATATTATTTAAAAAAAATATAAAGTTATCTCACTGTCGGATGAACTGAACAGCATCCTCGTATTTCATCCCACACTCAATCAGGGCCAGAGCAACCAGTACTGGGGCTCTGTGGGAAAGAAAACAACTAAGATTTACATGCAAAGTTCAGAACATATTTTTTTATGTATATTTTATTATAGTTTATTTATTAATGATCTTGAATCCTGTAAAATTACCTTCCAAGGCCTGCAACACAATGCACTGCAATACAGCAGCCTGGCTCCTCCCTAAACTTAATCCGAAGAAGATTTAGCCAATCATCAACGATCTGGTTAGGAGGGGGAGCTCCGTCGTCAAAGGGCCAATCCTGCACAACGGCAAAAAAATTAGCATTAAAACATCACCCGAGATAAGAACGGACATTTCTATTAATTTTCATGAAGGTGAAGAGGTTCATGTGGACTTACCAGAACCTGAATACCCTCTTTAACAACCAGGTTTGCATCATACGTGGCCTCACACACGCGAACGACCGTTGTCACCCCATATTTCTTCAGTTCCTAATGGATGGGAGGGAATGTCATGTAAGTGATGTTTTGCAGTTACTGTAATTATGAACAGTTGTAATTATGAGGTTTTTATAATCGTCTTTCCAAAACAACACTTTTAGTGTGTTCAGACCATTTAAACCAACACTCACCTCAATGAATTTGTGAAGCGTGGCATTAGTGGGGTTGTGGGTAATGAGGAATCTCATGTTTTTGTAAGTGATCTCCACTGGGGCAGGTCTATTCATACGAGCCATTTTTGACTTTTCAAAATAGCTTAAAAATCTTAAAGAAAAATGGGAGAAACTCTGACAAAAGAAAATCTGTCGGATACAATTAGGAGAAAAAAGGTATGACCCAGAGGTGGGCAGGATTAATAGCAAAAATAAAAACCTTAGAAAACAAGGCTGGTCCTCTGGTGAGAGTGAAGACGTAGGGCCAACGAGGGCAGTGAACTTCAAGAGATTTTTTTACCCCATCCAGAACCGCCGACTGCTGTGGACGCCTGCTCTCCAAGCCCGATCCCGCCAACGTTAAAACTGTGACACAAGTCTCTCTTCTAATGAGGTAGCAAGGCTAGCCGTTCACTTCTCTGCATAAAAGCCGTGCTGAGCCTGGCAGTAGTCGCCACTGCCCTTCAGAAACTCCATAAATGTGTGACCCAAAACACCACAGAACTGCTGCAAGGACACAAGAACAGAAGCACAAGAGGTCAGGATCCATGACTTCATTGATCTTTTTCACCCTGATTTAAAGCAGGCATTTTTCTTCTTGTCCAGTTGGGCCAGTAGCTCATTTCTATTTGCCCCAGCCTATATTAATATATTACAAAAAGTGTTTTTTGTGTGAGTGTGTGATTTTATATGTACATTCAGAATTTTACATTTTTATTATTAATTTTATTATATTATTTTTCTATTATATTCATTTTAAAATTATTATATTAGTAGTCTACATTCACACACATTAATTTTTACTTATAAAAAAGTAATTTAAGTGATTTTCTAATTTTGTGTTTCTAATTTTATATGTATCAATGTTTTTTTTTTGGTAAATCTACCATAATTGCTGAACATTATACAGTAAAGAAAACAAACATTCATGGCAATTAATCCCTGTCTAAACATAATAACTGATTAGTTTTTCATTTTTAATCCATCGTTATTGATTATTCTTATAGTAGTCTACAAATATGATTATTTTTTTAGCTTCTAAAAATGTCTTTTCGAATATATATGTATACATAATTTTATTACTCATAAGGCATAAACTTTATTACTCACACACTCATAAACACATACATCTAGGGATGGGCGATACCTCTTTATTTTCTGATACCGATATTTTCAAGCCCAGTATCGTCGATATCGATACCTCTAAACTAAACTGATCTTTTAAATTATTAAAAGAATAAAATCAGTTATTATACACACTCAACATTATATTTGAAAGCCATGTTTTTTTTAAACATTTCATAGGCCTTTTTTGTTTACACTGTCAGAAATTAAATGTACTAAAATTGTATTTTAGCTCTTTACTGGGGTAGTAACCTCAAAGGTGCACCTACTCTACCCCTAAAAGGGAGCATATTAGTACCATACAAGTATGCATGCTTTAAGGTTAGATAAGGTACAAAGGTGTACCCTTGAGGGTACCTCATGAAAAATAACCATGGTGTTACATAAGTACTAAAATGTATTATTATTAGAGGTTGACCGATTAATCGGCCGATTTTTGGCATTTTTAATTAATCGGCATCGGCCGATTGTGCTGCAAATTAGGCCGATTTACAGGCAGGCGCATCTGCGGGCAGCTAAGCGTAGTTGCGGAACTCCCTCTGAGGCTGAGTGAGATGGAGCTCGGAGCAGCACACACTCTGCTGCCGCAGCTTGTTCACACACAGCTTCAGCTAATGGCAGGGCAAAACAGACCGTTTCAAAAGCGGAATTACGTTTTACCCTACTAGAATTGATGCCGGAAAGTTATCATATTCATAAGTGCAACAAGTCATTTGCATGTGAAAGTAGAAACACGTTCAATTCAGACGAAACTTCTGGGCTGATTATGGGCTCGTCACAATATCAAAACTGACCGCCACAAACAGATTTTCCAAAAGGCTTATACTTCGTTGAATAAAATGTGCGCTTCACGTTTCAAAATTAAAATACAGCGCGGGTGTTTTTATATGAATGTATCTTTGAAAAGAACCGACTGTCTTCAGAAAAGCTTCGATGTCATTTTCATTTCATCTTTCCTGTAATGCTTGATAAAGTAGCGTTTGTGAGCGCAGCACTGATTTGATTACAGCCGTTACCGGGGAAACCGCTATATCTCCTGCTCCAGCAGCGCCTCCTGCTGGCAGAGAATTAATTTGCAGTCTGTGGGAAACACTGGTGTCTGTCAGCAAACATAAACAAAAAGCATGCTTCAGAACTGTTTTGAGAAGGTGCTACCCATGCGCTGAATGCGCGCGCGCGTGCAGTAATATACTACAGCACGCAGTGAATTCGTGATCACTTAATGCAGCGTTTTGATTGGCTTCTGAAAATGAGTGAAATACTCTATTTTGATTTTGCATATCGTTAAACCAGCAATTATGATATTATCGCACACGACATATATCGCACACCCCTAACCCTGCAATAATCATGTGCTCAAACACACTTTTATGAGATGAATGGGGAAAAAAAAGAAAATCGGCCAAACATATCAGCCAAAAAAAAATAAAAAATGGCATCATATATCGGCTGCCCTGATTTCTAAATATCAGCATCGGCCAGTGAAAAACCCATATTGGTCGACCTCTAATTATTATTATTATTATTATTATTACCATGGTTTTTGCTACAAATATTATGGTTAAAATAATGTTCCTGTACCATGGTAAATTTGAGGTTAATGCAGTTTTACTACAAATATTGTGGTAAACTGTGGTTACTGTAGTAAAACCATGGTTAATTTTTGTAAAAGGCTGCCAGACTGTTGTACCCCTAAAGGTGAAACTTTAGAAGTTTTTTTCTGACAGATTTTCTGAACTTTAAACGACTAGTTTAAATAAATTTACCTGCACAAACTAGCCTAATGAAAATAAATATTACATGTACACTATAGTGTTCAAAAGTTTGGGGTCAGTAAGATTTTGTAATGCATTTGAAAGAAGTCTAACAATGCTAACCAAGGCTGCACTTATTTGAACAAAAATACAGTAAAACTGCAATATTGTGAAATATAACAATTCAAAATAACTTTTATATTTTAATATATTTTAAAATGCATCTGTGATCAAAGCTGAATTTTCAGCATCATTACTCCAGTCTTCAGTGTCACATGGTACTTCAGAAATCATTCTAATATAATTTGCTGCTCAAAAAAAATTTCTGAGTATTATCAATGTTGAAAACAGTTGTGCTGCTTCATATTTGTGTGGAAACCGTGATACATTTTTCATAATTTGATGAACAAAGTTCAAAATAACTGCATTTTTGATCAATTTAATTCATCCTTGCTGAATAAAAGTATTAATTTCCTTTTTTTTTTAATCTTACTGACGTCAACATTTTGAGTAGTTGTGAAATTTGTTTATTGTGAAATAATTGTTTCTCTGTCATCTGATAAGCACTGATCTGGACTTTGTTTCCCAAATGCATCGTGAGCCTAAGCTGATCACAGAGACCAATGGTGGCAATGGTTTCTTAAAGGAGACATATTATGCCCCTTTTTACAATATGTAATATAAGTCTCTGGTGTCCCCAGAATGTGTCTGTGAAGTTTCAGCTCAAAATACTCCACAGATCATTTATTATATCATTTTGAAAATGCCTATTTTGAGTGGAAGCAGAAACATGCTGTTTTTC